ACTTCTTTAGTGTGGAACAATTCTTCAGTGTTTTCTTGGTTCCATGATCTTGACTATTTTGAGGTTTACAGTCCAGTCATTTTGTAGAATATCCCTAAACTCGGGTTTCCCTGATGTTTCCTTATGAAGATTTGGACTATGTATGAAACACTTGACTATCCCTATTCTAACTAGACATAGATGTTCCTTGACTTACTATGGGCTTACATCCCGATGAACCCATCATAAGTTGAAAACCTCATAAGGTGAAATGCTTTTTTTTTTTTTTTTGAAACAGGTTCTGGCTCTGTTGCCAGGCTGGAATGCGGTGACATGACGATGGCTCACTGTAGCCTTAACCACCCAGGTTCAAGTCACCCTCAGCCTCAGGCTCCCAAGTAGCTGGGACTATAGGCATGTACCACCACACCTGGCTAATTTTTTTTAAATACCTTTAGTACAGACGAGGTCTCAGTATGTTGCCTAGATTGATCTCAAACTCCTAAACTCAAGGAATCCTCACGCCTTGACCTCCCACAGTGCTTGGATTATAGGCGTGAGTCTTGCGCCCAGCCTAGCTGAAAATGCATTTAATACACCTAACCTACCAAACATCACTGCTTAGCTTAGCCTACCTTCAACATGAGAACACTTACATTAGCCTACAGTTGGGCAAAATCATCTAACACAAAGCCCATTTTATAATAAAGTGTTGAATAACTCACATGATGTATTAAATACTATACTGGAAATGAAAAACAGAATGGTTCCGTGGGTACTTGAAGTAAGGTTTCTACTGAATGTGTATTACTTTCACATTGTTGTAAGGTCATGTGACCACCAAGCCGAATATTTGTACTTCTGCACATTCTGCTTTACTTAGAGACTGAGGCAAAGGAGAATTCACTTCATGCCAACAGCATTTACTTCTAAGAAGTAACAACAGTTAGAGTATTAGCTGGATGCCAAGTACACAGCACTTCACCTATATTGTTTTATTTAATCCTCATGACAAAATCCTTTGACCCCTTACTTTTGACTGGCAAGATACCCAACTTGAGTTTCATTTTCCTCATCTGTAAAAACAGGGGAGTGATACACACTTCCTGGAGAACGGCAGGGAAAACAGCACCAAGAACTTTAACCTGACAACTCAGAAATCAATGAGAGACCTCTTTTGACCACTCCCACCTTGCCCCTCAAACCTTGTAAGATATCTGGCTTTATTTAATAAATGACCCCACCTTGGGCCTCAGCTAACTAGACCAAAGGCAGACACTCTCCCAGGCTGGAAAGCTCAGGTGGAGTTAGCTGCTCTGTGCAGAATAATCTCTTAACGGTGTTTTTATAAATTCTGTCCCACTTGGAATTGGATTCAGAGTGTTCTCAGCCTCTGGTCACCAAAAAACCTGAAGAGACACACCTTCAGGAAGCCAGGGTCAGCCCTCTTCTGCTGAGTACATGGGGAAGTGACAAGAGAAAAGAGGGGAAAAGGCCAGGTGGGGTCACATCTGTAATCCCAGCACTTTGGGAGTACAAGGAGGGTGGATCACCTGTCAGGAGTTTGAGACCAGCCTGGCCAATATGGTAAAACCTCATCTCTACTAAAAATATAAAAATTATCTGGATGCAGTGGTACGTGCCTGTAGTCCCAGCTATTTGGGAGGCTGAGGCTGGAGAATCAACTGGAACCAGGGAGGTGGTGGTTGCAGTGAGTCAAGATCACTCCACCTCACTCCAGTGGGCAACAGAGTGAGACTCTGTCTCAAAAGAAAAAGAGAAAAGGGGTGGGGGGAAATCCGCTGTTCAGAGATATAGGGTGCAAGAAGCTTTTGTAAATGTAAACAGGGAGGGAGGTAGCTATATTTGTCTATTTTCAGTTCCTGGTTCCAATTATACCTGAAGCTTTAACTGCATTTTCCATCCTTACAATACCATGACAAACACTCCCAGATCTTAATCATAGCTTTTCACTTTCTATAATACAGTCCCTACAAGATAGTACCTAAAACACTCCAGTACTCTACCCTACCTTTTACCCAGCTATCTCTAAGTCTTCCTGCAGGTCCCAGCTTAAACATCACTTCCTCTAGGAAACCCTTCCTGACTACTCAGAATATCTTAGTTTCACCTTTTATATCATCCAGTGGCACTCCCCACCTCACCACACTCAGTAAATGTTATTACTGCCCCGTTGGACTGTACACACCAAAGAGTAAGAACTACTTCTTTTGTTCACTACTTTGTTCTTACTGCCTAGCACAGAAATCAAATACATGTTTAATAATACTGATTAAATGAATGAAAATCAAGAAACTGGTAGAGGTAACTGGAAGGAATGGGAAGAAATCAACACTACTTTCTGATAAAAACCAAGCTGCTAGATGACAGAGCCTTGTGAGATAAAGAAAAAACAAAAAACAAAAAACTGATGGGACGCCATGGCTCACGCCTGTAATCCCAGCACTTTGGGAGGCTTAGTCAGGTGGATCACGCCTGTAATCCCAATTACTCAGGAGGCTGAGGCAGGAGAATCGCTTGAACCTGGGAGGCAGACGTTGCAGCGAGCCAAGATCATGCCATTCCACTCCAGCTTGGGCAACAAGAGTGAAACTCCATCTTAAAAAAAACCAAAACCCTAATTACTTTAACCCTAACCCTTTCTAGCCTCCTCTTCAAGTCTGTCTGCAATGACATAATCATTTTATATTTTAGGGCCAATGCATTCAGGAGCCCAAGTTGTAGGAAGTATATGTTTCTAGGTAACTTGGTATAACAGAGAAAAGCCTATAGTAGTTAAAAGAAAAAAAAGGCTCACAGGATTTGGCATCTACACAAATCTCAATTTAGGTCTCAGTTCTGCAATATACTTACTGGCTGTGAACCCTGAACGAGTCACCTGAGACCCAGTTCCCTTATGTGTAAAGTGAAAAATATAATACCTCAAAGTCAAGGATTAGCATGAAGCTGAAACCAGCAAGGCAGGCTTGCAGCTAACATTAATTGGTCATGGCGTTCATATCTCATGCATACATCTGCTATTCAGCTCCTACTGGCCATGAGTTAAAACCCCAAAGTCTGCTCTGAGCCTGAGACTCTGGGAGAGACGTTGGAGAACATCTATCCTGTGGGTTACCCAACATCACTTTTAAAGCTACTAAATCCTTTTTCCAAATGGAATCTTTCCCTGCTAACCTTAACAGTTACCTATGTGAATTGAAGATGATGACGACTGAAAGGAAATTAAGAAAAAGAAGAAAGATGAAAGGCAGAGGAAGAAAGAAAGGAAAGGGGAGCGGAAGGAGGAAGAGAAGAGCAAAGAATGAAAAAAAAGTAATTAGGGGAAAGGATGCTATATATGAGGTTTCCTCATGTGGGGTGAGGCCTGAAGCCCCTAAGACAGGAGAGGTCTGAAAACCACAGACAGAGCCCAATCCTTTCATTTTATAGCTGGGGAAATAGAAACATAGAAATTTTGTTCAGTTACCTGTAGCTTTCTCCTCCTGTGGTTCTGCTCAGTTTCCAGAATGCCTAGGATCTATATCCTTCTGGGATCTCTCTTCCTCCTTCTGGTATGGTATGGGCCATTTCAAAGCTAAGGCAGGTGGCCTTTCCTAAAGGAAGCAGAGACAGTGCAGCTACTGGATGAGCTCTTGGTCTCTCTGACCACATTTCCTCTGTCCTCTTCCATAACTTACCCTTATTGACACAGTAAAGGCAGGCAATCCTTTGGCTTAGTTCTCAGAGGTCTTATCTTATCCACTCTCAAGGCTTCAATTAATATCTCTATGGAGATGAATCCATGAGCTCTAGTCACATTCAGAAACAATATTTATTAAAAGCTAATAATGTGCAATGGAGACGGTTAATAGCAGGGTATGTCATCAACCTGATAAAAGGCTATAATCTGGATCTAGGATTCAAATTCCAATTACATTTGTATTTCACTTAGGAAAGGAAAATGACAATAAGAGGACCTAGCATTTCCAATGGAGAGTCAGAAGGTCAAACAAGCCTACAGCAGTGACAGAATTAGTTCCCAGATCTAATCAACTTCAGACTATTAAAAACTGTATCAGATAGGAGAAATATTATTGGATGGGGGTATCTTTTCAAGTGACATGTCCTAAACTTAAAAGAGTTTTTTCACTCCACATTTTAGATAAGTTAATCTTGTTAAAAGGGTCAAAGGATGTGACGGGAAATTCTGAACCTTTCGTAATGAGACACATTCACTGGCACACTTCCTGGCTAGTGCAACAGCAATGAAATGTATGATAGAGAGATGATGCTATTTTCTCTCCACTACTTTTTAGGGCCTTATTTCTTTTAGGCTCCACCTAATTTAAATTCTCTCTTGGCTCCTAAGCCTGTGAGTTCATATTAATTTTCACAGTCGGATTCAGCATTTTGCTCCTAAAGAAAGTGAAAATTAAAGATTCAATTAAAATCTCTTTAAAAAACAATTTTAACTAATTTTTCTATCTAGCTACAATACTTGGTAAAACATGTCTTCTATGCTATTTCCAAAATTATGATTGAAATTTGAATACACTTCTGAAACATGTTATAATTTATACAGTAAAATGCACAAAACTCTGCAATTATTAATTACACTAAGGAAAGCAGAGCGTTTTCCTAAAAACAGCTGAAAGAACTGTGTTTTGTGAAGTCTACAATCTTAAGAATAACTCTCTAGTTCTATGACCTCAGGATACTTCCTCACCTGAAAAAAGTAATAACATCATCTTTTCCTCCCTCAACGTGGCTGTTCAAATAAAATGAAATAATGTATGTAGCACAGTACCTGCCACGAAGTACTCAATACATTAGTTTACTTCCTTCAGTCAACACAAAAGACATATTCACAAGATTCAGATTTAGGGGGAATCTACTTCCACAAATATTCACCAGCACAAAATGCTACGTACCGCAAAAATAAATAAATAAATAAAAAATACTGTCACCATCATTTCACTTTTCTAAGGGACCTAAATCAAGTTGAGGGAGCCTACGTGTGATTCTGCAATAACTCCATTAAAGCTGCATACCTGACCACGAAATCATTAACAGCAAAGTCCATACCAATCGGGCTAAAACATCTGGGAGCATTTATGAGTGTAAAAAAAAAAGCTCAACTGAGGGCTAAAAAAAAAAAAAAAGTCAAATTAGCCCCAACTCTAAACAGATCTTTAATAAATCAAGAGAGTGATGCTGGTTTATCCTTCCTGAAATGCCAACAGTGCGATATTAAAATCCAGTTAAAAGCAAAAACTTCAAGACGGAAATATTCCACCAACACTGGTGTCGGTAATGCATTTTAGAAAGCCTGCACGGAGACCACCATTAGCACCGTTGGTGATATTTAATCAAAGCCGTCGGCTGAAAACAGAGGCGAGGAGAAAAATTGATTACTTCGGTGTTCTGCACACAGGCGGAGACGAACTGCTTTCAGGACCTCAGCTGCAGCTGCCGCCAACACCGACAAGCACCAGCTTTACAACCGAAAACCAAAAAGGCGGCCACGATGCTGGCAAATAGAGGGGTGGAAGCGCTTCCGTTGCCTTCCAGAGCGTACGGACTTGAAGGCCGTGCGGCGACCCGGCCGAGGGTCCCCGGGTCCCGGCCTCCGCTCCCCTGACCACTCCCCGCGCCCCTTCCCAAGCGACCGCTGGTCGGGGAAGCGACGAGCGACACCTAAACCTCAACCGCCCTGGCGCGCGGACGGCGGCCAAGCCCAGGTTTCAGGTCGCAGAGGCGCCTGAGGCCCAGGGGCCGGCCAGGCCCGGGCTGTGTCCGCTACGACCCGGGAGAAGGCGGGACCGGGCGTGGCCAGGCGCCGAAACTCACCAGCCAGTGCTGCAGGCGCCTGGGGGTAGTGCGGCCCCAAAGCGAACACCTGCCGGTGGACCGTCTCGACGCTGGCTGCCAGGCCATCGCGCTGTGCTCCACGCTCGACGGCAGCCGTTCAGCTCCTGCCGCCACTCCCAAAGGGACTCGCCACCGCCGGCGCAGCTGATAGGGAGGAGGAAGGCAGGCACCCAGCCGGAGACCTAAAGAGCGCCCGCTTCCCTGATTGGCCTACAGCGGGGCGGAGGGAGGGGCGGGCGCGCGCCGACGAGGGTGCCCGGGGCGGAGCCAAGCAGCACGTGTGCAGATTGGTTCCTGGCGGCTGGGGCCTGCCATTTCAGCACTTTGTGAGGCAAAGGCCGGCGGATCTCTTTTGATCGAGTTCCAGAACAGGGCTCTACTAAAAATACAAAAATTAAGGCCCAGGCAGTGGCTCACGCGTGTAATTCCAAATTTTTGGGAGGCCGAGGCGGGCAGATCATGAGGTCAGGAGTGCAAGACCAGCCTGGCCAACATGGTGAAACCCTGAGTCTACTAAAAACACAAAAATTACCCGGGCGCAATGGCAGGCACCTGTCATCCCAGCTACCCGGGAGACTGAGGCAGGAGAACTGCTTGAACCCGGGAAGCGGAGGTTGTAGTGAGCTGAGATCGTGCCACTGTACTCTAGCCTAGGCGACAGAGCGAGACTCAGTCTCAAAAAAAAAAAAGGAGCCACTATCCTCAGCCCTCAACCAGGAGGCTTCATCTCAAAAACAAAAAAGAGGGACTGAAGGAAACTAGGGGAAAAAAACAATAATAGTTTCAGACAAGACCCACGGGTGGATGCTATCATTAGTGAGTAAAAATTTGATCGCAGTCTCAGAGAACATCCCCAAGATATCTACAGCAATACCTGTTAAAGGATAAACAGACAGACACCACCTTAACCAAGCGATTAACATCTAAGATACAGCAACATCCAGAATTCTCAGATATGATGTGCTGAGCAGCCTGGGCAACAAAAGCGAAACTCCATCAAAAGAAAAAAAAAAAAAAAAACGCAATAAAAAAAAAAAAAAAAAAAACCAGAACAAAAAAAATTCAGATGAGCCAAATACAGTGGCAGACACCTGTAATCCCAGCTTCTTGGGAGGCTAAGGCAGAAGGACTGCTTTAGCCCAGGAGTTTGAGGAAGACCCTGTCTCAAAACAACAACAAAAACCCCTAACTGTCCTAGACTGTGTATATATGTCAGCTTGTGTGTGTATGGATTCAGATTTTATTTTTTAAAGGACCCCAGGTGATCTAAAGTTCAAATAAGATGGACAGTCATTGCTACAACCCTTTTCTTCTTTGTCCTGGGCCTGTATTTCATGGTTTTTTAGGTCTACTGTGGAAGCACCTTCTCTACACAACAAAGACAAAGCAACAGAACCCAAATTCTTCCAATTCCCTTTGGGGTCTATTCCCTTCTTCTCCTGTGTACAAATATTAATTTCTATGGGATTATGCTGATGAGAAAAAATAAATTACATTTAAGTGACTGACACCAAAAACGCATTACTTCACAGATGAAAAATCTGGCCCCAGTGACACCTTCTGATCCTCAGTATCTTCAATTTTAAAATCATTGTTTTGATTTTTATTTCTAATTGTTAAGCTGAAGTGTTTCTATAAATTTTTAAATTGGTTAAAGGGGTGTGTGTGTGAGAGAGAGAGCGATCTTGCTCCCCTATCCTCACCGGCCACACCAATCTACACCCATAACCATTTATTAGTTTCCTGTTTATCCTTCCATTATTTCCTCATGCAAACACAAATATATATTAATTCATTTACACGTATTACAGTAAAGTAGTTTCTAAATCTGAAGAGGCATCGGACTAAGCCAGGGAGCTCTTTAAACATGTGGACACCTAGTTTCCATTTCATACCTATTGACTGAACAAAACCCCTGCAGAGTGGAGCCAGGAACTTGACAAAGTTCTCCCAGGTGGCTTTCTGTGACAAACACCTTTCAGGGTGCTTACTCCAGCCCACATCACCTTTACCGAATAGGGATCTGTCCCATTTTGTCTGTGCTGTTGAGAGTATTGCTCCTGGCCACAGCTGATGATGTACTACCCAGGCCAGACAGGAGTCCCTTCTAAGGCAGAGCTGGACCAACTAGCTCCTCTTCTCAGAGAACCTGGAGCTGGATCACAGAGACTCCAAGGGGCCAGGCTGGCTGATGGAAGACTGTTTGCATAACCAGGAATACTGGGATGGGCCACATGCACCAAGACTTCATTCTGCAGACAGAGATAGAAGAGCCAAGTAGTAGACAGACCTGAACTGCAGAAACAAGGCCTTCTGCTCCACAGAGAATGACAGACACGCTGCCTTGGTTCCCGGTGACTTTCCAGTTCTTCAATCTAGTCCTCCATTCCTCAGGTCTTCAGTAGGTTTTCTGGAGTGAGTGACAGCAGCAGGAGTTTCAGGAGGCATCCTGGAGACCATCTGCTACTCTAAACATGCAGTGGGTTAGTGTTGTGAGTGTGGCTGTTATCTGGAGGCGGGCTGCAAAGCTGCAACTGACTCTAGCTGTTATTTCTCTGTCTAGGTCTTTGCTTGTGTTTGGAACAGATGTATTTACTGCTCAAGAGTGCAAGTGAGGAGACAATATGGAAAGAAAAGAAAAGAAACATTTCAGAAATAAGATTTCCACTGTAAATTGAGAAATAAAAAATTTGAGTAATTTCAAAAGAACTCATAATTCTGCTTGACTAGTATTCCGTAGGATGACAGTGGCAACGTGGCAGCTTTCAACCTGCCCCCAGATAGCAGCCATGCCCACAGCACTAACTCACAACACATTCAGATTAACAGATGATCTCCAAGACTCAAACTCGTTCTGCCTTCACTCACTCCAGAAAACCTACTGAAGTGACAGAGTATATTTGCAGAAATAACCTTAACATTATTCTACTTTTTTTTTTTTTTTTTGAGACGGGGTCTCGCTCTATCACTCAGGCTGGAGTTCAGTGGCACAATCTCAGCTCACTGCAACCTCTGCCTCCTGGGTTAAAGCAATTCTCCTGCCTGAGCCTCATGAGCAGCTGGGATTACAGATGTGTGCCACCACACCCGGCTAATTTTTGTGTATTTAGTATAGATGGGGTTTCCCCTTGTTGGTCAGGCTGGTCTTGAACTCCAGACCTCATGATCCACCTGCCTCAGCCTCCCAAAGTGTTGGGATTACGGGTGTGAGCCACCACACCAGGCCTATTCAACTTTTATTTTGGGTCAAGATACAAAGTCTTGGTCTTGGAAGTCCTGAAACCCAAATTAAAGTTCTTGCACAGTCACAGCTCTGTTCTTGTAACCTTGGGCAATTATCTTAACCTCACTGAACCTCAGTAAATTCCCCTGTAAAATGTAAAGAATATTTACCTCACATATAACATTACTTGGATGAATAAGTATGTGAACTTGTTTCATAAATTCAATGCAAATACAAACTGTCACTGCCATCTAGATTTTCATCACTTTAATCACCAATCTCATTTTTTTATTATTTTAATATAATTTTAAATAATTACTCTTTTTTTTTTTTTTGGAGACTGAGTCTCACTCTGTCACCCAGACGGGAGTGCAGTGGTGCAACCTTGACTCACTGCAACCTCTGCCTCCCAGGTTCAAACGATTCTCCTGTCTCAGCCTCCCAAGTAGCTGGGATTACAGATAGCCTGTAATTTTTTTCCTATTTTTAGTAGAGATGGGGTTTCAGCATGTTGGGCAGGCTGGTCTCGAACTCCAGGTCTCAAATGATCTGCCCACTTCAAGCTCTCAAAGTGCTAAGATTACAGGCATGAGCCACCGTGCCTGGCCCCTAAATAATTAAATTTAATAATCTTTCTCATTCTTTTTGTTAATAATTGTAAATTCCACATTAATTTTCTTTATATTTATTTATTTTTTTGGGGGGGGAGGGGGATGAGTTGTCTCGCCCTGTCACCCAGGATGAAGTGTAGTGGTAAAATCTTGGCTCACTGCAACCTCTGCCTCTGGGGTTCAAGTGATTCCCCCACCTCAGCCTCCCAAGTGGCTGGGATTACAGATGCCCGCCACCACGCCCAGCTAACTTTTATATTTTTTAGTAGAGATGGAGTTTCACTATGTTGTCTAGGCTGGTCTCAAACTCCTGACCTCAGGTGATCCACCTGCCTTGGCCTCCCAAAGTGCTAGGATTACAGGCGTGAACCACTAGGCCCGGCCAGTTTTCCTTATCTTTCATTAGATATAAAAATCATGAGGCAAGGCATGGTGGCTCACGCCTGTAATCCTAGCACTTTGGGAGGCTGAGGTGGGTGGATCACCTGACGTCAGGGGTTTGAGAACAGCCTAACCAACATTGTGAAACCTCGCCTCTACTAAAAATACAAAATTAGCTGGGCATGATGGCACATGCCATAATCCCAGCTATTTGGGAGGCTGAGGCAGGAGAATCACTTGAACCCGAGAGGTGTAGGTTGCAGTGAGCTGAGATTGTGCCACTTCACTTCACCCTGAACAAGAACAAGATTCCATCTCAAAAACAAATAAATTAATTACTTTAATAGTTAAAAGTGCTACTGTAGAGTCTAAGTGACTTAGCCAGTGACCCAAAGACAGAGCTAGGATTAACTCTTATTTTTTCTTCTAATTTCTATGTTGTTTCCATTATACAAGAATGTGCCCAGAAAGTCCTACACAACAGAACTCTGGGAAGAGCTAAGCTGAGAAATGGTACAGAAGGCCTCATTCAAAACCCAAGAAAATAAACACATTATAAACAAAGAACAAAAGTAAAACTAAACTGCAAGGAACACAGCAACCACATTTTAAAGGGCAACCCAGGAAGGAGCTAGGAATGTTAAGTACAAACCATCAAGACTCAAGAGAAAAAAGGAGAAGGCTCCACAGAATCAAAAGTTCACAAGAAGCCAGGCATGGTGGCTCCCACCTGTAATCCCAGCATTTTGGGAGGCTGAGACAGGAGGATGGCATGCCCATAGGAGTTTGAGACAAGCCTGGGCAACATAGCAAGTCTCCAACTCCACAAAAAAATTTAAAAAATTAGCTGGGCGTGATGGCTCCTGCCTGTAGTCCCAGCTACTTAGGAGGCTTCACTGAGGGAGGAAGGAGTCCAGGAGTTGGAGGCTGCAGTGTGCTATGATCACTGCACTCTAGCCTGGGCAACACAG